ACCATGGACTCCCTTTAGTTTCCTTTTGTGACCACAGACACCCCCCCCAAAAAAAAACGTAAGAAGAACAGTTGCAGGAATTGGGTATGGCTAATCTAGAGAAAAGGAGGACTGGGGTGACATGACAGCAGTATCCCAGTATTTGAGGGAATTAATCAAGGAGAGAAGCAACCTGGAATTAAAGAGAAACTTCCTAACAATGAAAACAATTATCCAGTGGAAAAGTTTGCCCTCAGAGGTTTTGGGTGCTTCATCTCTGGGGGGTTTTAAGAAAAGACTAGACCAGCGGTGGGCAAATGTGGCTCTTTTACAACCTGTGGACTTCAACTCCCAGAATTCCTGAGCCAGCTTCAAAACCACTGGCATAACTTATAAATTGTGCATTGGTCAACACTTCCTGTTCATTTGCTGGGAGTTTGATTCTTTTTTCCTCTTGAAATATAAGTAATGCATTTACATTGATGTTACACTTTTCATAAAGAATATCATAAAAGATGACTGTACTTCCCTCATCATATCAGTGGTTTAGAACAATGTATCATCATAACATCATAATCATGTCTTTTTCATCGATCCTTTCCTGAAGAGCTACTAATAGTTTTCTGGATATTCTGTTATGTACCATGTCCATTGCTCCACTCTTTCTACCTTACGTTGTCTGTGAAATGTTATTGTCTGTAGTTCCCACTGTGCTTTTATTTTACCTTTTTAAGTTATGCCAATCTTTTAAGAAGATAGTGCCAGTCTTCTAAATAATGATATAGAACAAGACATCAATTTCTTAGAGGCCACTAGCATTTCAACTATAAACCAATATAACTGAGTATGGAAAACCTTAAGTTCCTTGAGAATAGCAGTCAGTTGCCTAAGTTCTGCTGTAAATATAGCTATTTTTCTTTGGAAACTACTTACCCAACTTTTGCACAGCAGCCACTTTTCAAAATATAACTTGCTATTCACTTTTAATTTCCCTTTTCAGAATTTGCAAACTACATGAGTTTTCTATCAATTAATTCTGCACTGAATTTCAGCGCTTCAAATATGAGGAAAGGAAGCTTCTGTGAAACCTAAATATTTTGCTTCTCTGAAGGCTAAGACCCATTGTGTTTTTACTGGGGAAAAAAGAGATCATACTCTTTTCTATTCGTATTTAATATGCAGACTTTGAGCTAAGCATCTTTATTTTGTGATGAAGGGATAAACTGTCAGAAATAGGAATTTTAAGAAGTTGCTGGCAGACTTTTAGAGCGACTGCATAATGGAGAATGGCATTTTAATTTTTCTTTTTTAAAAAACTGATCTTTAGAAGTAAATTATAGAAAGGATATATTCTGTGTTTGACAAAAATACTATTGCAAGAGCTTGCAAAAATACAATATATTGTACAACACTTCAGGGTTTACTCTCCTGTAAGGATGGGAAAAGAGATGGGTCCCACTGTGAACATTCAGTAAGACTGTTTCATATTTAAAAATTGGTAATTAGTCCCTGAGTGAATAAAGTGGAAGAGATAAGAGGTTGATACTGTTTTTCCCTTTCTTGTACTTTGAATTGAAAGAGCATACAGCAGGAAAGCCTTTTTTGGCACAAGCCTTTCAGAACTTGAAAATGCTGATTTCTTAGATTATGCATAACTCATGAATTCTCAGTTCTCTGCCTCCATTTACCAAGAACTTGGACACTGGGAGAAAAAAAAAGAGCTTTAAATTCCAAAGATTACTTTGTTAAAGTAACAGATTTGATTTCCTGGCAGTGCTGATACCAAAAGAGTCCTGCTGGCAATGCATTGTATTTCCCCAAGACTGCCATTATGTTTTCACAGAGGTTTTTTTCTTCCAGAAGGTGAATCATTTTCTGTAAATAAATCAAACTGCTTTGCAGCAGTAAGTGTACCTAAAAGACATTTTAAAGCAGGGGTGTCAAACTCACAGCATTACGTTGTCGTCATGTGACATATTGTGACTTTTTTTCCCCTTCACTAAACTGGGGTGAGCGTGGCCGGCGCATGACACATGCGGCCCATAGGCCACGAGTTTGACACCCCCTGACACCCTGTTTTAAAGGATATCAGTTAAACAAGGGGTTTTTTTGTTTGTGGGTAACCAAATTTCTAACCTTTATCATTTAATTATCCAATTTAATTAAGATTAGTTAATCAACAATTTAAGGCATTGCAGAGAGTGAAGGTATGCAAGTAGTTTAATAACTCATTTTAGAATGAGTTTTGGGTTAAAGGTAATCTGGGTAAGAGCCACAAACCAAATGATCTTTCAGAAACACCATTTATTTAATATTTTCCTTTCAGTCAGCCTTACCAAACTTGTTTTCATTACAATGTTTTGTTTTTTAAAAAAGCAGAAGTTATTTTTAGAAAAAGAAAAGTTGCATATTTTCAGTGCAAAATTATCAATAAATTCCAATATCAATTAGGATCATGGGACATTACAACTGAATGCTCATTGAGCATTTGAGTGCATGATCAGTCTAGTCTAGGATAAGAGATTACTTTTTTTCTTAAGAATTGTCTTTATTACCAATAGCTATAGAGCAAACGTGTTTTGCCTGAAGTCTAGTAAAATGACCTTCAAGGCCGGGAATACTTTACAAATGAAGGACCCTTCCAGATGTGAAAAATCTGTCATATGTCCAGTGCCATCTTTATAATGCACATTTCATTGTTTTGAAGGATTTTGCTGTGGGCTGAAGCACATATAGGGAATGGCTGTCAAATTTATGAATGCAGTAGTACAATCGGCCACATAATAAAAGAAATATGGTTTTATTGATTCAAATGGAAGAAACTGGGGAACATTCACAAGAATTCACATGCAATGGAAAAATATTTGATTTCCTTTTTGCTAATTACAACACCCAAATAGGGAGATTTGTCCAAAGTGACTTTCTTTAGCACACAGTCAAGAAATATATACTGTGTATATTTTTACATGGACCTTTTTATGCAGATGCATAAAAATGTTTCAATTGTATACTATATGTCTTTTTTATTTTATGCATTCAAGTTAGCATTGTCTAATCCTGGAAGATTTCTTAACATTTTCAAAAGTGGTTTGTCATTGCCTCCATTCTAGGGCTAAGAGAGAGTGATTGGACCAAAATTACCTAGCTGACTTCCATGTCTAAAACAGAGCTAGAACTCACAGTCTCCTGGTTTCTAGCCCGGTGCATAAACCGCTACATCAAATAAACTCTTGCTTTACCTCTAATGAAATGTTATTAAAGGATGGATGTACCTGTCATTTCATAGCCAGAGACAGTAAAGGAGACGGTATTGAGTCTAAAAGGAAAACTGAAAGAGGTGCATTTGTATAGCACCATAGATTTGTGTCCCAAAGAAATTAAACATGTAGAGAATCCACTTGTACATAAGACTAGCCAGCATAGCTTGTATTAAACAAAGATTATGCCTGAGTGAATTCCAGAATCGTATTTCAGGTTATTACATGGCCTAAGAAATCCTGGACTGAAGACAGTCTAGAAGAGTCATAAGGGAAATGCTTTGTGGGCATCATTTGTACCAGGAATTTAGAGTAGCCAATAGTGAATTTAGAGTAGTTGATAGAGGAATAAATATAATAAATGAAAATATTTGCAAACTGTGTCTATAGTTTGTAAATTCTGTTTTCAGTCATCCAGGGCATGGTTGTCCCAACGCTGCTTTTTTCAAGAGACAACTGGACTTTCTGGTTTTTCTTTGAAGACGTTTCGCTTCTCATCCAAGAAGCTTCTTCAGTTCTGAGCTGAAGAAACTTGGATGAGAAGCGAAACGTCTTCAAAGAAAAAAAAAAGTCCAGTTGCCTCTTGAAAAAAGCACCTTTGGGGTTTGCAAACTATTTTACACCCCGAGTTTAAAGTTTTTAAAACCATCCAATAGGAAGAAGATCTTTATCAATATTTAAAAAAACACTAAAAATTCCTTTCTGTTTGTCTAAAGGGCAATATTTGTGGAATTCAGAAACAGACACATGCACACACATTTGGCATGTTAGTTTGGCAGTCACTGGAACGTTCCAGGTGGCTCATTAGCATCAGGATGGACAAGTCAAAGTCTTTCAGAATAATTTAGAAAAATGTCAAAAAAGAAACAAGCCTGTCATTTTTTATTAGAATTAACTACAGAGATTTCACCTTGGATCAGAAGAATTAATACAGAATTATATGAATTGTGTAATATATCGGGTTAAAGGTACGCCTTCTTCTCCGGGGACTCATTTGCCGACTATATATTACAATTCTGAATGTGAGGCATTCTTCAACCTTTTTCTCCACAAGATACATGGAGAAGAAAGAGATGACCTTGTACAAAATCCATTGATATCTCAATGATCTAAGTTTTATGCAGAATTTCAGCATGACATTCTAAAGTTAGGCCGTCGTGGGGTTTTTTGTTTTGGGGGTGTTGTTTAGTTTTTGTTTTGGTCTTCAAGAAACTTGGCAGAGAGATTCAACTAATATCCAGGAGCATGAAAACCATTTGTTTATGCTGAGGAAAACATATTAATGAAATACCATTTTAATAATTAAATACAGGTAGTCCTCAATTTACCACTGCAACTGAGCCCAACATTTGTTAAGTTAAACATTTGTTAAGTGAATGTTGACCCGGTTTATGACCTTTCTTGCCACAGGTGTTAGGTGAATCAATGCAGTTGTTAAGTTAGTGACACGGTTGTTAAGCGAATCTGGCTTCCCCATTGACTTTCCTTGTCAGAAGGTCGCAAAAGGTGATCACGTGACACTGGGACACTGCAACCGTCATAAATATGAGTCAGTTGCCAAGCACCTGAATTTTGATCACGTGACCACGGGAATGCTGCAATGGTCATAAAGTGTGAAAAATGGTCACAAGTCACTTTTTTCCAGTGCCATTGTAACTTTCAATGGTCACTAAATGAACTGCTGTAAGTCGAGAGCTACCTGTATAAACACCACGATTAAAGCCATGATCATAATCTTTTTTATTATTATTTTTTATTATTCAGATGTCAAAAACCTAGAGAACTTCCAGCTGGTAGAAGGTGTTCAAGAGCAAGTGAATGCTGCTTTGCTGGACTACACCATGTGCAACTATCCACAGCAGACAGACAAATTTGGGCAGCTTCTCCTGCGACTCCCTGAAATCCGGGCGATCAGCATGCAGGCTGAAGAGTACCTTTACTATAAACACCTAAATGGGGATGTGCCATGTAATAACCTTCTCATTGAAATGCTGCATGCAAAGAGAGCATAAATTGTAGCCTTTGATACAACTTCTGCTTTTCCGAAAAGAAAAGAAAAATACTCTATAAAAGTTCTCCGAGTGACACCAGTTGAAATAACTTGGTTTAAAGAAACTTTGCAAAAAAAAAAAAGAGTAATGTTATAATAATCAAATACTAATAGTAAATCAGTGATGTATCAGGGTATTTGCATTGCCAACTGTGAATGAAATGCTACACAATCTCCCCAAAGGAACTTGTATAGGACTTTAATCACTCGAATAAAAGGAGTTTTACAAGCGGAAAGGCTACCGACATCAATATCAATAAAGGCAAAAAAAAAAATGGAAAAGAAAGAACAATGCTTATACATTTTTTTAAAAAAAACTTTGCCAGTTACCACTATGAATAAATTTAGGAGCGAGTTTTATCTGTGTTATTCAGCTAACAGATCAAAGGGATCTGCATGCACTACAACCCTTCACTGGTTAGCAGGATTGAAAACACCTCTAATGGATGCAACACTGCAGTTTTCCCTGTGTCGTCTTTCCAAAGACTGAATTCTTATTTCTCCTTCCGAAAGGAATCTGTATATCTACATTATATTAAAAAATCTGGAGTGAACCACACACTCACACGTGTACACACATACAGAATAGTGTCACAAGCAAGCAAATAAATACAGCCTGGATTTTCGTCTGTCTGAGTCCAACCTGCAAATAACAAACATAAGAAAAATTATGATGATGATGATGACGAGAAAATAATTTTATTCATAAAGATCAGCGTGACATTCTTAATGTTTTCTATGGTTACTTTTGTCATTGGGTTCATGTTGTTCAGCCAGGCAGTATCTCTCCTCTACCACGGGCCAAATTTTGGAAAAAAGCTGCTCCAAAGCAATTGATAGTGGACTTTAATTCCAGGTTCAAATTAAACATTACTGGAATCACTTCTCAAAGCTTTTAGTGCCAGATCAGCTTGTGTCTACTATTTAACCTCCACCTAAAATAAAACATCAAGCAGTAGCATCTCTTTACTTGTCACACTTGAACTCCAGTCTGGATTCGGAGAGAATTCAGATTAATGGATTCAATTAATATCCCACTGTCTGTCTTCACTGTGATTTCTTTCTTTTCCCACATATAGCTCAGTTGGGGTTCTTCATGAACCATTTGCACATGCAGTTCAAGAGTAGGATAGCATAACTTTGGAGTCTTCAGGTCAGGCACAATCACTATTGTAGGTTTAGCATCCTGGTTTTCCTACTTGGCCTACAGAGCAAAGGATTAAAGGTGACTAGATGGCCATGCTAGACAGTTGGCTGAATTCACTGTCTGTCTAATAAAATCAGCTATCGGAGCTGTGGGGTGGGGGACGAATGTCAGATAAAGGTACTGTCAGATTTAAGGAAACCATCTTCAGATTGTTTTCCTGGGACTCTTATTTTAGCAGGCCCTTGGCTCAAAGCTTAACTCATGGCAATGAGTTAAGGGGCATGATATTAAATTTCAGTGAACTTTTGTGGGAGGAATAGGAGACATTGTGAGAAATTTAAAATACCCAGAACCTTCCTAGACAAGTTGATTAAGGATGCTAGGTGCAGAAGATAGTCATGGACTTCTGAGCTGGCACAACCAATGTTTGGTTTTAATATGCTTTTGTCAGAATTTGGTCCTAACAGCTATCCATTTATGACCTCACTATAAACTCATTTCTTCATTCTGCTTTGATTGCCTGTCCAGATCTCTACGTCTCCTTTTTAATCTCACATTCTTGATGTATTTTTGAAAGGTCCAGAACTTCTCTTATGCAAGGAGGCACAATACACCAAGTAATATTCTCTTGTCCTCAAAGGTCCTTGTTTTTTTTGAAAGGCAACTGGACTGTGTTTTCCTTCAGGAGGAAGAAGAAAATGTTTTGCTTCTTATCCAAAAATTTTTTTTTCTTCTTCCTCAAGGAAAAAACAACCCAGTTGCCTTTTGAAGAAAAAACAATACCTTTGAAACAACTATGACCTGGATGACTGAGAATCTCCACAATATTCTCTTGTCTGTTTCACCTTATCCATTCAGAAAACCAAGTTCTTCAGCTTTATCTTACTTTGGGGTCAAATATTTTTGAAAGTAACAAGTTAGTCCTATTGATACAAATAGATAAACTGATGAAATCCAGCAGTTGGTTCTTATTAGTGGTAGTTTGAAAAATCTGCATCCTTTTTGTATATCCTTTGGAACCAAAAACACATTTTAAAAACAAGAATTAAAGCAAAAAATCTTTGGTGTGCTAAATGAAGAGTGATACTGCCAAATCTATGTAAAGCCAAAGTCCGCTGCAGAACAAATATCAGAGAAGGACAAATAATTCTATCCAAAATGAAGTTATCAGTATTATGAAATTTGCCACCGTAATGAAAGCTTTGCCTTATTTCAGAATTTTGAATGGTAACTGTACAAATGTGGATCTAATATGTTTAGGGTGGAAGTATTAATACTTTACAGTTTTGAAGAAAATAAAGTTTATTGTGTTTACATTTGTGAGGTCCTGGGGGGAGGGGAAAAACCCATGATAATATTGCAAAACCATGGTTTCCTTAATGTTGCTTTCTAGCTTGGTAACTAGCTTTACCAGTACTTAATTACTGTATGTCGTGAGACACTAAAATCAAAAGGAGAATCTCATGTATGTGTTAATTACTTTATTTTTCTGTTTGGGTTATTGGCTGTACAATCATTTGTAGAAATTGTATCAAACTTCTAATCCACAAGCCTTGTTTATTTGTCCATTTGTTTTCATGAAGATTGCTGGCTTTTAAATAGTTTATTTATATTGTATAACACCATTTTCATTGTAGACAATTGTGATGCTAATTTATTGTTCCTCGGTTTCATCTTTATATAAAAATATAGGCAGAATAAAGAAACCAAATATATATGTTTATTACAGCATGTCTTCAACTCGTAGTTCATAGTTCAGGGACATTCAAGGGACATTTCAGTTTAAAATCAGGTTTTTGATTAAATGTTTATACATTTTCATAATCCTAAATGTTGTTTATTTAAAATCTATTGTAAATTTTGTGATTAGCACTTCTCTTTGTTTTATGTGAACAGAGAGAGGTGCACTCTTATCTGGACATTTTTTTTAAGCAGTGGACATTGTATACCAAAGACAATACTTAGGTCTGTAGTATTAGCATTAGACTACTTTATCACCATGTGAATTTGGTTGTTTTTAAATGCCAGACTTTTAATGGAGAGGGGGCAGAAGAGACAAAGGATAAATCATCTTTGCTTATATAAAAGGATATTTCTTTGACTACAAATAGTTACTCCTATCTTATTTCTGCAATTGCCTGCTATTAATAACATGGATAATTCAGTTGTACTGGGAGGCAACATCAGTAGAAGTAGAAATCAAAGTAGCAGCCTAATAGTTAAGTCCCAGCTCATTCAGTTCACTTTACAGATGTGAATGGGTTGGACTTCTGCATATTCATGCAAAATTAGAAACGTATAATATGGTGAAATGGGCTTCAAGATAAAATTGAGAATGTACTATTAAAAGAGAAAGCAAACTCAGAAGTTTCACAAAGTAAGCTAAGCTATTGTCTGCATACAACATACCTCTTAGTATCTAGGCCCACAGTATATTAAATAAACTTTATTTAAACTTGGTACCAAAAAGTCAAATGTGCTCACCTTATCGAATGTTTTAAATATCTCCATCTTCGATGCCCTGCATATGTTAATATGGTTGAAGTAGTATTGACAATTATTTTCTAATTTCTCTAGAACGAGTCTAGAATTCTTGTACATGCCATCATAGTGGGGATGTGAAGCTGAGAAATTTGATGAAGCCCAATACTCTGGAATTCTCCCATGATTCTCCAGTGGCAACTACTAACAGCTCTATCTTAGGGAACTTATGTTGAAAGTTCACTTTATATTTCCTATAAAAACAATATGATTGCTTTAAAAATTCAAATCATCATCTGTGGTATTTAAGGTTAATTGGAAAATTATTGAATTCAGACTTTTCACATGGGTGTCTTGTAAAATCCTTATTTTTTTTTATTGAAGCACCATGGCAGATGTCATTTTAAAGCTGAAAACCACTCACAGAGCACAATTTTCAGTAGACACAACCAGATCATTCACGTGGATATTAAGAGCCAAGAATGATTATTGGACAAAGTCACCTACAATTATCACACACATTAGCCAATATCTGAGATTCCAGGAATTCATCTGATTGCCCAAGTTTGCAAAATAAATGTTAATTGTTAACCACTTTGTAACAAAACAGTTAACTTACAATTGCTTTATTGATTACATATTAGTAAAAGCAGACTAAAATGCAAAGGTTTTGGCTTTGGCTGGTTTCTTATTGTTGTTTCAGTGTTTGTAATCAGACAACTGTAGTGTCTGAATATTTGTATTACCATTATGTTCTGCAGCAACCTGGCATTTGAATCCATGCAACTCTTTAAACTGTGCAGTTAGTTACTTGTTCTCTGAATGTATCTGTGAAGTTCATGTTGTCTCATGTCAGTCCTTGCCAGGAATTTTCTCAACACTAATGGATTTTTATTTCCAGAATTTCAATAAATATTGATATGGCCATTCTGATTACTTTAAAATTGTTTTTCTGATATCACTAAAACATTAATAACTATTAGTATTTTAAAACACCATTCAAGAGTAGAAAAGCAAGATACATGGTAAAACATTCTCTCCAAAGCTTTAGGTAATGTCATTACAATGATATTATATATATTGCAAAAGTCCCAGTGAACTCTGCCAATAATGTGGTATGCACATAGCCTGAAGGTAAGTCCCTAACATTTTTAATTAAAAAGATGGCAGAACTGACAAAAGTCCTGAGACAGAAGATCTGAGATCACTACTGTTAGGCAGAGTAGCAACAAATTTGACTAAGTAGACCAATACTCTGGGGCTGATTTATTATAAAGCAGTTGAAGAAGGAGAAGCTGGATTAGAGTTCTCAGAGGAGAAATGTGTTGCTGATTTGATTCCTGGCAATATCCTCTTGGTGCCTGTGTACCAGACCGTTGCAAGCTTTGGTCAATCAAGCAATGCCAGGCATCAATTAGACATTTTAGATCGGAAGGTAAATTTTTATTCACTTGTCTTTTGATTCTTGGCAGCAAAGCACACTTGACCAAAACCAGGAGAGGAGCTGAGAAATGAAAGCTGGATTGCATATGACTCAAGTAGTTCTAATTTACTGGTTTTCTCACACTGATCAACATGTTTGTTCTTGAACCGTAAATAAATTTTGATTGACTGATATTGATCAACCTTATAACATTGACTGCTTCTAGTAGGGTCTTTTATGTCCAAGGACACTATCCTACTTATGGACCCTTAAAGTCCAGATGTGGTGTTATAACTTGCTTGTGTTGATTCCACTGCCCCTTATATTTTCTCTCTTTCTAGGAAATAAGAAAATAAATTCATTGAAGGAAGAAAAATGTAATAGCTTTTTATGCCATATTTTAATTGATTGAGCTAGGAGCCTTCCATCTGGTAACCAAGCCCTTGCCAGTAGTCACTAGAACAGAGACAATGAATCATTACTGTTTAAACCAGTGGTTCCCAACCTTTTTTTGGCCATGCCCCATCTAAGCATCTTTAAAATCCTGATGCACACCCCCCCCCCCCCGGTGACATATAATTCTTACTATTCAAAAAGTGAACTCCTACTCACATGGAGGAAGCCTAAAATGTCATTAATTTGGTTTAAACAAGGTTCCAAATTTCCCCCATTAAAAATCAAATTGCCCCTGTGGAGCGTAGGCCCCATGTTGGGAACCACTGGTTTAGACCTTTTGGGGCAATAAGGACTTATAAATGTTACCAAAAAATTAATTCTTGGGTAGGAAATAGTTTCAACAATCCAACTTGGTAGTAATTAGCAACCATGGAATTGTATCAGCATATGGAGAGCTACATATTCCTCCTCATCCAATGTTAAGCAAGGTAATAATAGAACTAGAACAACTGTAGCAAAAGAAAGAAAAGTTAGTACCAATAGAAATAGGCATTTTATTGGGGTGCAATTAATAGGATGCAATCTCAAATCATCTGAAGCACCATTTGAACACTATTGACACTAACAAAATCACAATAAGTCCCATCAGTCAAATGCAAAAGGCAGCTTTGCTTGAAACAACTAACATCCCATGATGATACCTAACAGCTGCCTATCCCAGGTCCTTGGGAAGGACTCAATAAGTGAATAAACATGCTAAATCCAGTCTAAATCTCTGGCTGACTGGACAATGAACCATAATAATAATGTAGATACCATGTTTCTCCAAAAAGACGACCCACCTTGAAAAGAAGCCCTATCACATTTTTGAGCACATGCAATCAAATTAAGCCCCACCCACAAAATTAGCCCTAATTAAGATCCTGCCCACCCTGGGGTGCAGTGAGTGGGGCAAGACACAGGTAAAAAATAAGCTAGGGTGGGGATGGGGAATGGAGCTGCCCTATTTAGCAGGCCTTGCACACCCCAACACTTGGTGTGAGAGGGCTTTCCAGAAGAGGGCTTTCCGGAAGGCATTTGTAGCCGATAACAGTGCTCCGGATTGATCTGGAAGTCTGTTATCGGGTGCAGATGCCTTCCGGCAGGCATCTAAAGGCAAAACAGAGGCCGGGGCGATGCGTGCGAGTCAGGGGTGGGTTCTACTTACCTTTACTACCAGTTCACAATGGGGCCATGCGTGCATGCGTAGAAGCATTTTGATGACGTCGGGGTCAGTGGGCAGGGCCTCCCGCCGGTTTTACTACTGGTTCTATAGAACCAGTGCGAACCGGGGGCAACCCAACACTGGTGCGAGTGGTGGCAAGTGACCGTAGAAGTGGGCCAGCAGCGGGCTACTGCTGGGTAGGGCTGTCGGTGCCACCAGGTGAGTCAATAATTAGAACCCTCCAAACAGAAGACCTAGCCGTTTTTTGGGGAGTCAAAAGAAAATAAGACCCTGCCTTCTTTTTGGAGAAACATGGTACATTACAACATCCTAAATTCCTGAGAAGAACTCAGATGCATATGAAGACCAACAACAGCTAAGGAATGGGGAGCTCCCTACTAGCACTGATATTACCTAGTTTGCATAATGAAACGTCTGCAAGAAAACAACCAAGCCCAGAGAGAACCAAGGACTCCTCATTTCGCCCCTGAACTACAAATATTCTCCTTTATCAGAGATAAATATTGTGTCTATGGATTATGCAGCTCACCTTTCATAACTGTCACCACTTCAGTTATACTAAATAAATTCTGGTTGCATATCTAATTTTTATAGAAGATTTTTACATGAATAAAAGATAAATATAAAAACATATTACAAATAGTTAAGAAAAAATGTGAAAGGTAGTACAAATAAAAATAAAATTAAAATATAAAATAGTTACTTCTAATTTTCTTTACTGTAGCTACAAACTAATTTAATACTCCTCCTTCCTCTCTATGAGTACATCATGTTGTACACATATTAAACCCTTTTAATCAACAAATCCAAAAATCACCATTTAATTTCTTTTCCACTTTCAGCAAAAAGTCCATTAAAGTTTTCCAGTCTATGATAAAGTGTTCCAGTCTTTTATCCCTGATCAAATAAATCAACGTTGCCATTTCTGCCAATTCCACCATCTTCAAAATCCATTCCTCCATTGTAGGTCCAAGTAAACTCTGGATTACAAATAAGACTGAACTCACACCATATTTACACGGAGGCTTCCCTTGCTGTTCTCTCCAAATTCCTAGCTCCCTAGATCTATTCCTGAGCTCTTCTATGTAAGCAAACCACACAGTCCATATTTGTAAAACAGGCCTGTTTAATTTCTAATTTTGTCAGATTAAGAAGTATGCCTTGGAATCTTTCCTGGTAAGAAGAGATTGCTGCCTTTAAAAGAAAAACAAGGCAAAAATGCAAAAATCTGAATTAAGGGTAATTATTACTGTCTATGGACAATCTCTGGAGAAAATCTATGTGGTTACTAAATGTTGACACCAACTTGTTGCCATTTTAATCAATCAAATCAAAATCAATCAACGATTTGGTGTGTTTACCAGAAAACAAACAAAAACCAGTGACAAAGGTAGGAATCTATGCTATATTATACTATTTATAATTCAGATTGGGCTAAAATCTACTTACCTTCCCTACCGGTCTGGAAGTGCGTATTCCACCTGTGTGCGTGTGTCACATGCTATTTTGGACCCACTGTGCTTGCGCAGAGGGTAAAAAACAGATTACTTCTTGGTTAAAACAGGAAGTAACGATGTCCGGGCGGATGGGTGGAGCCTTGTGCTGCCGCTACTACCGGTTCTCCGAACCACCCGCTGCCACCGCTACCGGTTCAGCCAAACCAGTCTGAACCGGTAGCATTTCACCTCTGATTCAGATCTTTAAAAAATCTTGTATTTGAATTCAGACCTTTAAAAAATGCTGACTGTTCTGCTACTAAACATTTTTTAAATGGTTGCGAAGAGTCCACAGGTCCTCATGGTTACACACGCACCCTGCAAACCCCCCCCCAAAAAAAAACAGTCACTAAAAGACCCATGTTGTGTCATTCCTACAACATAAACCAAATTCTGGAGAGCAGCTGTCAATGTAGTTACATTGCATGAACTAATGGTCTAAAGCAATTTCCTATGTTCCTATTTTAGAAGCCTTTTCCTGGTACATCATGTGAAGCTGTCAAAAAATTGGAACCAGAGGATGCGGAAGCCAGAATAGAGTCACATTTTACACTAAGCCGACCCAGAACATTTCTAAAGACTCTGTGAACCACACAACATTATCATTAAAAAAATATAGCCATGTTGTAATAATTCAGTATGCCAGCTCACAAACAGGCTACAGTTCAAAGAATATTATATTATGCTGGGATATTTGTAAAGCTAACTGCAGTGTGAATAATAATGTAATAATGTTGCTCATGATGCATAAGCGGTACATGAGCTGATATTGTGTTATCTTCCACTAGTCCAGGGATGGCCTGCAGTCTGCTTATGAAACACAGGCCATAGGTTAGGGACCATTAAACTGAACCATAATATAGTTTGTTTAGTTTGGGCTTTGGATGGTTTATGAATCAGATCATAATGGTTTGTAAAGCCATAGTTTCTGAATTACCATATGGTGCATTTATTAAAGGTTGATTAAACAATTCATGCCTAATGCAGTCTAATGCTTGGAATCCACTTATCTGAGAAAGAACTCCGGGAGGGATTACTTTGGTGTGGGTGTGTTTGTGGGTGTGGGTGGGTGTTATACATGCCTAGGGTTCCACTGTAACCATAACTCAAAAGACTGTTCTCAGTTTTCTCTATGGGACTTAGGGAGCAGTGGTGGGTTTCAAATTTTTTTACTACTGGTTCTGTGGGTGTGGCTTGGTGGGCATGGCATGGCTTGGCGGATATGGTTTGGTGGGCGTGGCAGGGGAAGGAGACTGTAAAATCATTCCCTCCCCATTCCAGGGTAAGTATACTATAAGTATACTGTAAGTATACCATTTCCTCCCTATCAGCTGGGACTCGGGAGGCAGAGAATAGATGGGGACGGGCCAGTAAGAATTTTTACTAC